GGGGCGAGGGCTTGATAACCGTTGTCAGCTTGTTCGTGGTGGATAATCCCCCACTAACCGACCGAGGCTCGACTGAAGAACTGTTGTCAGTGATTAGAAGAAAACCAGTCAAACGAAAACTTTTTCTTTTCTATCGAATTTCGAAATTGCAAACCTCCAGATGTGGTTCACATGCATCATAAAAGAAGTGGTGAGCACCAATCTCGTTCAGCAATTTTCGCATGCATTCCCGATCCTCCAAATTCTCCATAGCCATCGTAATAGCAGATTGAATTGAGGCGCTATGATGCCTGGAAAGGAAAATCTCTGTTTTCTAGGTGATTCTAGCTCCCGCTGACATATCATTGGAATAATCATGTTCCGTACACGAGGAAGAGGAGTCTCTGACTCCGCTTAGCTCATTCGTGAATTCTTCCGATTTAGTCGCCTACGATTGCTGGTCTTTCTCGAAAACCTGCCACGAAAAAAATGAATTTCGTTCCCGGTTCCAGGGAGTTATAGCTGCGGAAACTGCCGGAAATTTGGTTAGTGTACGTTAAGTTCTTGAGTGGAGATGATGTAATGGTAAGTGGCACACTATAGTACGTCCAGAGATGGGATACTGGATCGTTTTCCACTCCTACCACTTGTTTCCCACTACTTGTCTGAGAGGATGAGAACACTGACTATCGGAATGTCAAGGGCTTTTCAACCTAGACGCTGAGGATAGGTCACTTTGCGTTTTTCGAACTTTATCAGCTGGCAAAAAGTTTATGAGCTGATAGAGTAGTAAACTCTCCTCCTTAAGAGAGGCTCTCACTACAGGCGGTGCAGTTCGCCAGCTAGAAAAGATTTTTTTATAGCCGCAGACGAAAATCGGATAGCCCTCTTCTTTTCCATTAGTTCCAGTGTGATATGGTCCCAATAGTCGACTGATTTGTTCAAATAGTTGAGTATGTAGGTGCGGACAGCCGCTTAACAATCACAGTGGCAGGTACTGAAAAGGAGTAGGGTCCTACCTGAAGTAAAAATCGTTGAAAAGTAGCGCCTTCCAGTTTTTATTCGATTCATCAATCTTCAGGCCAAATTGCCATACTGGCCGGACGTGTTTGTAATTTTCCACAATGTACAGTAAAGCATTCTGTGTAACTGCCGCCTAAAACTAATTTAAAAAGATCGCTCTTAAAAAGAACTTCCCAAAAAAAGTCGAAATTAGAAACCGTCGTTGTCGATTTCAAGACGGAAGGCGCAGAGCCTCATGACTGCTTTTATCAAACTAGTTCTTAAACTTTCAGAGAAATTTCTTCAAAATTCAACTCGTAATATG